CTTCGTAAGCAGATGGGCCAACAGTCGCCAGCTGGCTCCCGGTCGGTATTCGGCCCGTCAAGTTGTTATACGACAAGTTGAGGTGACTCAAAAAGTTGAGAGAAGACAATCTCTGCGGAATACGGACCGTTCCTTGAGAAATCGACCGAAATCAACTCTCGCATATTCCCAATACTTTCCGGGATACTACCCGTCAGCCTATTTCCCCGCAAATTCAAATTCCTTAATCCGACAAGGTTTCGGGTATTTTCCCGTGCAGCCTGTTTCGGGAGATGTCGATTGACGTGAGGGAAGGCATCGTCTTCGTGTACCGTCTCTCAATGCCGTTGACAATCTCCGGAATGCTTCCTCCATAGTCGACATCGAGAATCAAGTACTCGCGCGGATCATTTACGTTTATCATGGCCGAAAAATTCTTCCGGGATGGTGCCCGTCAAGTTATTTCGTGCAAGGTTCAATAACTGTAGTTGTGGACCAGGCAGATGCTCGAAGGTATATCGCCGTGAAAATTATTCGATTTGAGGCTCAAGAGTGCGAGATTCTGCATGTTTTCTCCAATCCAATGTGGGATTAAGCCGGTGAACGAGTTCTTCCCAATGTCGAGGATGTTTACGTTATGTTTGGTTCAAAGGAGGGGAGGTGAGGGGAGGGGAGGGAATTTAATGGAAGAGAGGGGAGGGGAGGGGAAGGGAGAGAAAATAATTTGTCTTGTTTGGATGGATTTTGTAGGAGGGGAAGTGAAAGAAAATGATTAACCTTGTTTGGTTAGAAGATGGAAGGGGAAAGAAAATAATGTTAGAATGACAAATATATCCTTAATGATGTAAGGAACAAAAAAAATAAAATAATTCACAGTAAGTTCAAAAGAGTAATTTGTTGTTAAAATTTTCTCTCCCCTCCAAATTCCCTCACTTTTGGAGGGGAACACATTTTTCCTTGGAGGAGGGAATTGAAGGGAAAATTCAAACCCCTCCCCCTTACAAAAACTTGAACCAAACAATGGGAAAATAAAAATTTCCCTCCCCTCCCCTCCGTTTCCCCCGAAGCAAACATAGGCTTACGAACATTGTGTTCTCTAGAGACGGTATTTGTCCTTGAAAATCGTTGTTGTGCAAGCTTAGTGACAATAGTGGCAAATTAGTGATGGAGTTCGGGACTTCCCCGTGAAAAGTGTTGTTCGTCAAGTCAAGCATTGAGAGTCTGTTCAAGTTCCCGATGCAATCGGGTAATTCTCCGAGAAACCGGTTGTTCGTGAGGTCGATGATGGTCAATGTCTGGATTTCACAGACGAAGCTTGGAAATCGACCGGTTAATCGATTGTTGGAGAGTACGAGGGCCTCGAGCGTTAGGTTCGTCCCGTTCTGAATTGGGATCTCGCCGGAGAGAAAATTGTCTGAGACGTCAAAAAGCAGAATGTCTGGGTGCAGCGGTCTTAACGGCCCTTCGAATATGTTCGACCTTAATATCAGACGACGAAAGGGACGTTTGGCCTCCTCGAACTTTGGTAATAGTCCACTAATGTTGTTTCCTGACATGTCCAAATAATGGACGAGAGAATATGAAGTGGCAAACCAATCGGGCAGTTTGTCAGAAATGCTAGTCTGAGATATTCTCAATTCCGAGACGTGTTTCTAGGTTTGGAGCCATGATGGGAATAGAGGTCCCAAGTTGCAGGAAGTTAGATCTATATTCTCGAGTTGAAAAGGCGGCACTAGTATGTGCCCACGTCGAAAACTAAGTTGTTGGAGGACATGGAAAGCTCGGCCAGTTTAAACAGATTAGAGAAATGTGACTCGGAAACTTGCCCAGAGAGAGAATTGTTCGAGACGTCCAATTTTTCTAGATTCGAAAGACGTCCGAAACTCAAAGGGATGCTTTCGTTCAAGATGTTGTTAATATCCAACTCCCTTAGAGAGAATAGTGTTCCGACTTCCGAATGAAGCCGGGATGGGTCCGGTTAACGAGTTGTGAGAAGCTCGAAGATTCTGTAGATCCTCAAAACAACCTTCCCCTCCATTTTGATCAGCTCCAAACCCGGGGATACGTCCTCTGAAATCATTGGCAGACAAATCCAAATACTTCAAATTGCAAAGATTAGTAGTAATACCATCCAAAATCGTCCCCTCAAGCTGGTTTTGCGACACGTCCAAATAAATCAAGTTACTCAGCCCGAACAAAGAATCCGTCAAGGACCCGTTGAAAAAATTACGCGAGAGGCCAAGAGCTGTCAAAGACGACAGCCGACCAAACTCTTGGGGTATCGGCCCACGAAATCCATTTCCATCGAGCCGAAGCTCGACAAGGCCAATAAGGTTAAACAACCAATTCGGAAGAGAATCCGAATCTATAGTGTTCCACTGAAGATTCAACGACACAAGAGAAGGAAAATAATAATCACCCCGCCGTGAAAGAGAATGAATGGTGGAAAGCAGTGTATTTGAAAGGTTCAGTTTGGTCAGTGAAGGTAGCTCGCAAAGTGGACCCAACCATTCCGCGGCTCGTCCCAAGTAAACTCCCGACAGGTCCAGTTGTCTCAAAGACGAAAGGCCCGAAACCCAACGCAGACTTTTGGAAGTCAACCTGTTGTTCCAAAAATCGCTCACATCCAAAATTTCGAGGCGGGATTCTCCCTCAAAACGAGTGGTGGAAAGATTGAGATATCTTAGATTTTTTAAGGATCCGAAGAAGTTAGGAATGAGAGAACCGGAAAAGTTGTTGTGGCTGACAGTGGCGAAGCTACGTTCAGTGGCTGGGGTCGTCCGACACCGACGCTTTGCGTTGAACCACTTGTACGTAACAAAATTTCACCGTGTAAGACTCCATTAAAAAAATAATAAGACCCCGCCAGCAGGGGCGGATCTATATATGGGCGAGCCTGGGGTTTGTCCCGACCCCAGCAACCAAAATTTCTGGCTTCGCCCCTGGTGGCTGAGGTCGAGGGACTGTAGCTTGTGGAGGTTGAGTATAGTCGGGTTTAAGCGGCCTCTTAAACAAGATTTGGTGTAGTATGAGATGTAAGCTCCATCCTTGGAGTTGTAGAAAGTGTCGGGATCGAACGGGGTGGGATTGTGAAGGTTTAGGCTTAAGACGTGACCTGTTTTGTTGCTGCAGCTGATCCCTGCCCATGAACAGCATTCTTGTCCTGTCCAGGAGGATAATCGGCCCGATTCGTCAGTTAGGCTTTTGCGGAACTCGGAAAGTGCTTTCCGCTCTCGTTCGATGCATTTCACTGGTGGTGGGTTGTTGCTAATTGCTTGGCTTTGTGTGGAAAAAAGTGTGAGAAAGATAAAAGATGTGGTCAGCATAGCCATGCTTAAGTGACTGTGATTGGGTATAGGTATGTGTGTGTTTACTTAGAGCTAAATGCATTAGAATTTAGAACCTGGCTTTTTTTATTTTATGAAGAATATTGGTAGAGGTTGAAGATAATAAGCATCATGTGAGGGTGAGAAAAGATGGACAGCAAGTTTACCTGGAATTTTAGTCTAAGCCTCTTTTAGTTGCTGCCTTTTTTATTTTTAATTTGTTGTGACTGCTTTGTTGTCAAATGTTGATGTAGCGGGCCAATTATTAATCATTTATCAGTCAATGGTCAGATCATGAAACCACTAAAAAAACAAAAAAAAAAAAACAAAAAAACAAATAAAATGTCGTTATAATAAAGATACTACTAAAGAAGAGGTCAATAATCAGATCTCTTATAATCGATCCATCAATGAAGTTTCTATTCTGAAGTTTTTCAGTTGAAGGCTGAAAAACTGTGCTGTTCCTTTATTTATTATCTACTTTGTCTTCTCGAGTAATGTTCTCCTACCCACGGTGGTCATATGTTAATATGTCTATCGCTTATGTAGCATGCATATATTGGTGATGTATTTTTTTGAACATATTAACATCACTAATGTGTATATGCCAAATGAGCGTAGCATATTAACATGTGTCCACCGTGTGTAGGGGAGCATTACTATTGTCTTCCCTTTCATTCGAGAGTTGGTAGATCTTCAAGAAATCAACTCTTCACATTTTTTCTTGTCAATTTTCCCAACATCTTATTTCAGTGGATCTTTTTTTCTTTCACATATATTTTCGCAAAGGAGAATATGGCTGTGGACAACTCAACCTACAGGACGCGTTTTGGTGAGCTAGCTCCCAAAGGCAAAATCGTGAGGGAATGATCTGGTGTATACCCAAAGCGGACAATATTCTGTAGCGGGTGAGCTGGGCTGTTACATATGGTATCAGAGCCAGTACCCGGACTGGTGTGCCAGCAGGGACGTTGGGCCCTCCAAGGGGGTGGAATCTAGTAAAAGATGTCCCACATCGGTTGTTGAGGAGAACGAAGCATGTCATATAAGTGGCTGTGGACACCTCAACCTACAGGACGCGTTTTGGTGAGCTAGCTCCCAAAGGCAAAACCGTGAGGGAATGATCTGGTGTATACCCAAAGCGGACAATATTCTGTAGCAGGTGAGCTGGGCTGTTACATATGGTATCAGAGCCAGTACCCGGACTGGTGTGCCAGCGGGACGCTGGGCTGTTACATATGGTATTAGAGCCAGTACCCGGACTGGTGTGCCAGCGGGACGCTGGGCCCTCCAAGGGGGGTGGAATCTAGTAAAAGATGTCCCACATCGGTTGTTGAGGAGAACGAAGC